CAATATAACACTCTAAGCGTCTTGAACGCGCACCTCGTCAACAACAGGATTGGCCTGACGAAAGTGATGCAGCCATCAGCAATCAACTCGCTGAGAAGAAACGCCTGCACAAAGATTACGTTAACCGCCCTACCAACGACATCAAAGCAGCCTTCTGTCGAAGTCGTTATCTTGTACAACAGCGGCTACGGGAAATGCAGGATGCCTGGATGGTTTGCAAGGTCGAGGGGAGCCAAGGTCTCATGCGCCGCAATGAACGGAAGGACTTTTTCGCTGCGATCAAGGTTGTCTACGGTCCCGCAGTCAAAGGAATCGCTCCCCTACCTAGCCCTTTCAGAAATACCCTACTCACTGAGAAGAAAAATTCTGAAACGCCGGGCTGAGCTCTTTTAAGGTGATCTCGACGTTTACTCCAGCATATCCGACGCCACCATCGACTGCCTACCACCCGTGGAGATTAACGTCGATCTCGATCTTCCACTGACTCCTCAGGGAACCATCAGGGCCGTGCAACAATTCTTTAGTGGATAAACACCCGGATCACACGCGATCCCTGCTGAGATTTACGAAAATGGTGAATACTAAACTTGCGAACTATCCCCATCACGTTCTTCCATGAGTTGTGGCGCCAGGATCAAGTTCAACAGGACTTCAAGGATGCTACAATCGTCGGCTTCTACGAACGAAAAGGAAACAGTCAACTCTGGAAAGCACCAGCGAATTTCGCTGCTCAGTATCGCTGGAAATTTCTCCACTCGTGTTCTCCTAAACCACCTCAAAAACTATCTGGAAAAATAAGTCCTGCTGGAAAAGTAGTGTGGTTTTTGTCCTTATCATAGCACCGCCGACATGAACTTCGCTGCGCGACGGCTGCAGGAGAAATGTCAAGAGATTCGTGCTTATCCCTGGACTACCTTTTTGGACCTGACGAAAGCCTTCGACACATTGAGTCGCGACGGACTGTGAAAAGTTGTCCAGAACTTCGGCTGTCCTGAGCGCTTCACCTGCATATTATTTCTGCTCCGCGACGTAATAATGGCGTGCATCACAGAGGAGAGGACAGTATCCAAAGCCTTCTCAGTGACCGATGGATTGAAACAAAGCTGTGTCCTCGTGTCCATTTTCTTCCGTCTCATGTTCTTTGAAATGCCGATTTACAATTTATATTTGTAATTATTAGTGATAGGAAGGCGCTTTGTAAATAAACTTAGTATCGGAATAAAATTATGACATAATGTGCGGCTTAAGTCTACAAATGCGTAATAAGGTAAGCAGAAATTGCTCTTTAAGGATAGCT